TTTATCAAGCACCTCTAAAGAATAAAGGCCCTTAAGCTAATCTTGTCTATGACAATGAATTTGATATCACCCACCTGGATGTGGCAGACTTCTTTGAGCACCCTGATGGAAAAATAGATCACTTGATCAATGATGGATCCGTGGTTAAAGATGATTGAGTAGTTTGCCTTTTAATTTTTTCCTATTCATAATAGTTAGCGAATAAACATCATGTAATCATAGTTCATTACATGAGTAGTAGTCATTAGTATCAAGTAGTAGTATTTATTTTATGAAATAACGTTAATTCGTTTTGATTAAATATAGTTCTTGACAAGAATGGTGTTCATTTGTTTGAGGATATGGAAAACTACCTTAAAATTGTCACTTGCTAATAGCTTATACGTCTGAATCACTTTGTTTGTGTAACGACCCGACTGGTCATTTTGCTTTCTGGAACCCCGTTCCCCTAAATAAGACTTCTCGTACTTGCTTTTACTATTTATAACTTGCGGGAATGGTTGGTTCGGGATTTGGAAGAGTTCGGGTTGAAATCAGAACACTTGGTTCCTTAAGGTTGGCTTAAAAGGCCAAGTTTGACTTCGGTCAACGTTTTGAGTAAACGACCTCGGAATCCAGATTTGAAGGTTCCAACATGTTTGTATGATGATTTTGGACTTGGGCGTATGTCCGACTTGTGTTTTGGATGACTCTGGAGTGTTTTGGAGCCTAATAGTGAAAGTTGATTCCTTAAGGATTTTGAAGTTCTTAAATATTTGATTTGGAGCGGGTTTTTGTGTTATCGAGGTCCGAACAGAATTTTGAGACCTGGAATAGTTCCGTAATGTCATTTAAGACTTGCACGCAAAATTTGGTGTCAATCTGTGTAGTATAAGTGTGTTTCGTCGTATTGGATGTAAATTGAAGAACTTAAAGTTCATAAGTTTGATTCAATTGGTTTTAGGGGGTGATTCTTAGATTTAGCGCTGTTTCGGGCATTCCAAGGGTGCGAGCAATTCTGTTTTGTGATTTCAAACTTGTCGGTATGTTCGGGCGAGGCTCGGGGGCCCTGAGCGTCAATCGGACGAGGCTCGAGTGGAGTTGGAAAGTTTTGGAAGGAGCTGAAGCTCCAGGTATCTGTCATAACCGCACCTGCGGTTGGTCAGCCACAGGTACGAGACCGTAGAAGTGGTCGAGCCTTCGCAGCTGCGTCCAAGGAGAGGAGCCCAGGAACCGCAGATACGGCTCCTCTTCCGCAGAAGCGGAACCGCAGGAGGGGCCCCCAGACCGTAGAAGCAATCCCAGCCAGCCCAGGCCAACTCCGCAGGTGCGGACCTTCCTTCGCAGAAGCGAGACCGCAGGTGAGGTCCCCTAACCGCAGGTGCGGAAATCGCTGAAGGCAGTGCTTTCATTTAATACGGGAATGTGTCATTTTTGACACAATTTTTATTCATTGTTTGGGCGATTTGGGAGCTTCCAAAGAGAGATTTCAACCTAGCATTAGTAAGGTAAGTTACTTCTACTTAGTGTGAGTTCAATACTTGGTTTATGGGTAGATTAACACATTAAAATTAGTGAAAAACTGAAAATCATGGGATTAGAGTAAAACCTAGGGTTTTGATAAGAACAAGATTTTACCACGAAATTTGTTATGGAATGAAGTAAAAATCATATATTCTTGATCCTTAGGTTATGGGTAACAACTTCCCTAAAATATTTCCAGAATCCGGGCATGTGGGCCCGGTGATGAATTCTAGGAAACTTGTATAATTAACAATTTCTAATAAAAATTCATTACTCAGGCTAGGGACCTCGAAATTCGATTCCGAGCATACACCCAGGTCCCATATTTTCCTGCGGACCCTCTGGAACCGTCAAAACATGAATTAGGGCCCGTTTGCCCAAAATGTTGACCAAAGTCAAACTTAGCCTTTTGAGAAAATCCTAAAGAGTCAAATATGCATATTTCAATCCAAACCCTTCCAAATCCCGAACCAACCATCCCCGCAGGTCATAAATTAGTTAAAGCAAGCACGGAGAGTGTTATTTGAGGGAACGGGGTTCTAAAAAGGCAAACGACCGGTCAGGTCGTTACATCCTCCACCTCTTAAACAAACGTTCGTCCTCGAACGGGCATAGGAAAGAACCTGAAGTGCTGAATAAATGGGGGTATCTACTCCGCATGTCCTCCTCGGACTCCCAGGTCGCCTCCTCGACTGGTTGGCCCCTCCACTGGACCCTCACTGCGGAAATCCTCTTGGACCACATCTGGCGGTTCTCAGAGAGACGGTGCTGCAGGGAGGTGCCAAGAAGGTTTCTATTGGCGAGGATGGTGTTTTGCGGCTCCAGGGTCGTCTATGTGTTCCTAATGTTGATGGTCTGAGGGAGAGGATACTAGAGGAGACACACAATTTGCGGTATTCCATCCACCCTGGAGCTACGAAGATGTATCGTGACTTGAGGCAGCATTCTTGGTGGCGGAGGATGAAGAAAGACATAGTGGAGTATGTAGCTAGGTGTTTGAATTGACAGCAGGTCAAGTATGAACATCAGAGGCCAGGTGGCCTACTTCAGCAGATGCCCATCCCAGAGTAGAAGTGGGAGCGCATCACCATGGATTTCGTAGTTGGGTTGTCGCGGACCTTGCGGAAGTTTGATTCGATATGGGTCATCGTTGATAGGTTGACCAAGTCGGCTCACTTTATTCCAGTGGCGACTACTTATACAGCAGAGAGGTATGCTCAGATTTACATTCGGGAGATAGTCCGGTTGCACGGTGTGCCTGTTTCCATTATATCAGACAGAGGCCCTCAGTTCACTTCCCACTTCTGGAGAGCTGTTCAGAGTGAGTTGGGGACCCGCGTAGAGCTCAGCACAGCATTCCATCCTCAGACCGACGGACAGTCCGAGTGGACGATTCAGATTCTGGAGGATATGCATAGAGCCTGTGTGATTGACTTTGGGGGGCAGTGGGACCAGTTCTTGCCCTTGGCGGAGTTNAAGGAAAGATGAAAAAATGCATTGAGTAGCTTCTCTCCAGCTACATGTCGTTGTTGTCTGTTGGTATGTTCAATTACATGTGACCGCGTCGCATGGTTGATTCGCGAGCGGCGTAATAGTTGCATATGTGGTTCGTGTCGCTCGACCCTCGGCAGTGCACAATTTACTTTATGTTGGATCGGACCATACGACCTCGGCACTATTTGCGCCTGTTTTATTCAGAATTTCTATGATTTAGATTCTTATTTGCCCTGAAATTGAAGTTGCCAGTAGTGACATTACTTAGGGGAGAACCTGTTAGTTCTTGCTACATACTGCTATTTGATTTCTTTTACCCATGCACAGTGTAATTTGTATCTCATATTATTTTGACCCTAGTAAGTGTCATGCCGACTTCTCGTCTCTACTTCTTCGAGATTAGACAGGATACTTACTGGGTACATATTGTTTATGTACTCATACTACGCTTCTGTACTTAATTGTACAGGGTCTGAGGCAGGTACCTCTGGCTATCAGTCTGGTGCGTATCACTGAGCCTATTCCGAGACTTCCACGGTGAGCTGCTCCCCTCCTGTGCCGTTCAGCAGCTTGATGGAGTTTCTCTTATTTATTTTTTTGCTGTCTATTCCATTTCGGACAGTAGGATAGGATTGTACTTTTGTATATTCTACTAGTTGCCCGTAATTTGTGAGACCAGGTCTTGGCACATACTTTAGTAGATTATTTCTTTTGGAAATTGTATAATTATTTTGGGTACCTTAATGGCCATTACTTGCTTTTAACCTTGACTTAAGAGATTTCCAAAACTAATTGGCAAAAAGGTAAAAAGAAGAATTTAATTATAATTCCGCGTTGGCTTGCCCGGCAATGGTGTTGGGCGCCATCACGACCTATTGCGGAAATGGGTCGTGACAACATGGTATCAGAGCACTAGGTTCACGTAAGTCTCACAAGTCATGGGAAAACCTAATAGAGTCTTGCGGATCGGTACGGAGACGTCCATATTTATCTTTGAGAGGCTATAGGGTTTTAGGAAAGTTACTCTTTATTCATTTCCTCTCGTGCAGTGGTCAGTATACTAAGTTTCCTTCTTTACTCTCTCACAGATGGTGAGGACACGCACGGCTGATGTTTCGGACCCGGGAGGGGCTGCTCCCCCCGCTACCAGAGGCCGAGGCAGAGGCCGGGGGAGCGCACCGGCCTGAGGTAGGGGACGAGGGCGTCCCAGAGCTGTCCCAGTAGCATCACCAGCAGATCCCGCGGGAGACCCTATTATTGAGGAGCAGGGCGAGGTGCCCGCAGCCGAGCCTACCCCGGCGGATTTTATGACAGCACCGGGCTTCCAGGAGGTCATGGGTTGTATGCTGCGGTTCATGGACACAATGACTCAGGTTGGACTATTTCCAGCAGATCCAGCTACATCACAGGCAGGAGGGGGAGCACAGACCCCTACTGCTCAGGCTCTTGGGCATGCAGCTGTAGTGTATCAGACTCCGGGCGCTCTACCCACAGATGGGGCTCAGCTAGTCGCTGCAGTGGTGCCCGGGCCCAGGCCAGCTGCGAATGGTGACCCGCAGAAGTTATTGGACAGATGGACTAGACTTCACCCTCCTATTTTCGGGGGTGAGCGTCATGAGGATGCTCAGGATTTTATTGATAGGTGCAGGGATAGACTGCACAACATGAGGATATTGGAGTCCCATGGAGTCGACTTCACCACTTTTTAGCTGGAGGGCAGGCCCCGCAGATGGTGTCAGTCCTATACTCTTGGCAGGCCAGCAGGTTCTCCTCCCCTCACTTGGGGTCAGTTCACACAGCTATTCTTAGACAGGTATATCCCACCCTCTGAGAGGGAAGAGCTGCGGTATCAGTTTGAGCATCTTGAGCAGGGTCAGATGTCCGTGACCGACTATGAGGCGAGATTTTTTGAGCTGTCTCACCATGCACTCATGATACTTCCCACAGATGCAGAGAGAGTGCAGAGGTTTGTTGCAGGGTTGCACCCCGGTATTCGAGCTAGCATGGCCCGAGAGGTAGAGATCAGTACTGAGTATCAGTTAGTAGTGGAAATCGCTCGCAGGATTGAGGGTTATCGCCAGAGGAGTAGAGAGCAGTTTCAGCAGGACAAGAGGGCCCCATTTTTCGGAGAGTTCAGAGGCGCCCCAGCCAGGGGTAGGGGGCACACGAGGAGGGATCAATCGGGCAGACCCCCGTATTCAAGACCAACACCTCCCCGAGGTACTCCAGTGAGACCTTATTTCAGTGCGATGCCGGAGGGTTCTTACCGTCCACCACCTAGTCAGGGTTCTTCCAGCGAGTATTCTGGTCATCAGGGTTCTCCCAGTGCTTACTTTAATGCCATGCCAGAGAGTTCTTATCGCCCACCAGCCATTCAGGGTCCTTCTGGTGGATATTCGGGTCGGCAGGCTCAGACTTCAGGGCAGCAGGCTATGGCGCCGAGGGGCTACTACGAGTGTGGAGATCCGGGTCACATAAAGAGGACCTACCCCAAACTTAGGGGCAAGGCAGTACAGCAGGGCCATCAGCCTATGGTTTCAGCACCGGCTGCCCCACCACCTAGAGGTGGAGGGCAGACCGGTAGGGGCCGTCCTAGAGGTGGAGGCCAGACAGGGAGAGGTCAACCAGCTACTGCTCAGTTACGCGGTGGCCAGCCAGCCGGCGCTCCAGCTAGATTCTATGCTCTTCCAGCCAGGCCAGATGCATTAGCCTCAGATGCCGTTATCACAGGTATTATTTTCGTCTGCGGCAGAGATGCTTCGGTATTATTTGATCCAGGGTCCACCTATTCATATGTATCATCTCTGTTTGCTCGTTTCCTGGTTATTCCTCCTGCACCTTTGGGCACTCCTATTCATGTGTCCACTCCTGTGGGCAATTCCGTGGTTGTAAACCGGATCTACCGGTCCTGTGTGGTTACATTCTGTGGTTTTGAGACTAGAGCAGATCTCCTGTTGCTTGACATGATCGATTTTGAGGTTATCCTTGGCATGGATTGGTTATCTCCATATCATCCCGTCCTAGATTGCCACGCCAAGACTGTTACTTTAGCGATGCCAGGATTGGAGTGGAAGGGTTCCATAGTTGATACACCTAGCCGGGTTATCTCTTTCCTGAAGGCTCGGCAAATGATCGAGAAGGGGTGTTTAGCGTATTTGGCTTATGTTCGGGACACCACCGCAGACTCTCCGACGATTGATTCAGTTCTAGTAGTTCGAGAGTTCGCTGATGTGTTTCCTTTTGATCTTCCTGGCATGCTACCGGATTGTGATATTGATTTCCGCATTAATTTGGCTCCAGGCACCCAGCCTATATCTATCCCACCGTACCGTATGGCTCCTAAGGAATTGAAGGAGTTGAAGGAGCAGCTTGAGGAGTTGTTAGCAAAGGGGTTTGTTAGGCCTAGTGTATCGCCTTGAGGTGCCCCGGTGTTATTTGTGAAGAAGAAGGATGGGACTATGCGGATGTGCATTGATTACCGCCAATTGAACAAAGTCACCATCAAGAACAAGTATCCTCTGCCTCGTATCAATGATTTGTTCGACCAGTTGCAGGGTGCTAGGGTGTTCTCTAAGATCGACTTGAGGTCGAGTTACCATCAGTTGAAGATTTGGGACTCGGTATGTCCCGAAGACTGCCTTCCGGACTAGATATGGCCATTATGAGTTTCTGGTGATGTCCTTCGGCTTGACTAATGCACGACATTCATGGACTTGATGAACAGGGTGTTCAGGCCTTATATTGATTCCTTCGTCATCATCTTCATTGACGACATCTTGATATACTCACGTAGCCTGGAGGAGCACGAGCAGCATCTGAGAGTAGTGCTTCAGACCTTGCGAGAGCAGAAGCTATATGCTAAGTTCTCCAAGTGTGAGTTTTGGCTAGAGTCAGTGGCATTCTTGGGACATATTGTGTCAGGAGAGGTTATTAAGGTGGATCCCAAGAAGATTAAGGCAGTTCAGAGTTGGCCACGACCTACTTCAGTGACCGAGATCAGGAGTTTGCTGGGGTTAGCAAGTTATTACAAGCGATTCGTGCAGGGCTTTTCATCTGTTGCATCACCTCTGACTAGATTGACCCAGAAGGGTGCTCCTTTCCATTGGTCCGATGATTGTGAGGCGAGCTTCCAGAAGCTCAAGACAGCCTTGACTACAGCACAAAATCTTGTGTTACCTTCCGGTTTAAGGATGTATACGGTATATTGTGACGCTTCGCGCGTTGGCTTGGGCTGTGTATTGATGCAGGAGGAACGAGTTATTGCATATGCCTCCCGTCAGCTGAAGATTCATGAGAAAAATTACCCTGTGCACGACCTGGAGTTGGCGACGATTGTTCATGCTCTTAAGATATGGAGGCACTACCTGTATGGGGCGTCATGCGAGGTTTATACTGATCATCGTAGCTTGCAGCATTTGTTCAAGCAGAGGGATCTTAATTTGAGGCAGCGCAGGTGGCTTGAGTTACTGAAGGATTATGACATCACCATTCTTTATCATCCGGGCAAGGCGAACGTGGTCGCGGATGCCTTAAGCAGGAAGGCAGAGAGTATGGGTAGCTTGGCATTCATTCCAGCAGAGGAGAGGCCACTAGCTTGGGACATTCAGTCCTTGGCTAACAGACTAGTGAGGTTGGACATTTCGGAGCCCAGCCGGGTTCTTGCGTGTATGGTTGCTCAGTCTTCATTATTGGGGGAGATAAAGGCCCGGCAGTTCGATGATCCACATCTGGCGGTTCTCAGAGAGACGGTGCTTCAGGGAGGTGCCAAGGAGGTTTCTATTGGCGAGGATGGTGTTTTGCGGCTCCAGGGTCGTCTATGTGTTCCTAATGTTGATGGTCTGAGGGAGAGGATACTAGAGGAGGCACACAGTTCGCGGTATTCCATCCACCCGGGAGCTACGAAGATGTATCGTGACTTGAGGCAGCATTATTGGTGGCGGAGGATGAAGAAAGACATAGTGGAGTATGTAGCTAGGTGTTTGAATTGCCAGCAGGTCAAGTATGAACATCAGAGGCCAGGTGGCCTACTTCAGCAGATGCCTATACCAGAGTGGAAGTGGGAGCGCATTACCATGGATTTCGTAGTTGGGTTGCCGCGGACCTTGCGGAAGTTTGATTCAGTATGGGTCATCGTTGATAGGTTGACCAAGTCGGCTCACTTTATTCCAGTGGCGACTACTTATACAGCAGAGAGGTATGCTCAGATTTACATTCGGGAGATAGTCCGGTTGCACGGTGTGCCTGTTTCCATTATATCAGACAGAGGCCCTCAGTTCACTTCCCACTTCTGGAGAGCTGTTCAGAGTGAGTTGGGGACCCGCGTAGAGCTCAGCACAGCATTCCATCCTCAGACCGACGGACAGTCCGAGTGGACGATTCAGATTCTGGAGGATATGCATAGAGCCTGTGTGATTGACTTTGGGGGGCAGTGGGACCAGTTCTTGCCCTTGGCGGAGTTTGCGTACAACAACAGCTACCAGTCTAGCATTGGGATGGCCCCATTTGAGGCTTTGTACGGTCTGTGGTGTCGTTCTCCTATCGGGTGGTTTGAGCCGAGTGAGGCTAAGTTATACGGTACAGATTTGGTGCAAGATGCCTTGGACAAGGTGAAGTTGACTCAGGAAAGGCTTCGCACGGCTTAGTCCAGACAGAAGAGTTATGCGGATCAGAAGGCACGTGATGTATCATTCACGGTTGGTGAGAGGGTCCTCTTGAAAGTCTCGCCAATGAAGGGTATTATGAGGTTCGGGAAGAAGGGCAAGTTGAGCCCAAGGTTTATTGGCCCCTTCGAGGTGTTGAGACGAGTTGGGGAGGTTGCCTATGAGCTTGCTTTGCCCCCCAGCTTATCGGGAGTTCATCCGGTTTTTCATGTATCAATGCTTCAGAAGTATCATCCCGACCTATCCCATGTGTTAGACTTCAGTACTATTCAGCTGGATGAGGGTTTGGGTTATGAGGAGGAGCCAGTTGCCATCATTGATAGACAAGATCGCCAGTTGAGGTCCAAGAGGATTTCCGCAGTGAGGGTCCAGTGGAGGGGCCAACCAGTCGAGGAAGCGACCTGGGAGTCCGAGGAGGACATGCGGAGTAGATACCCCCATTTATTCAGCACTTCAGGTACTTTCCTATGCCCGTTTGAGGACGAACGTTTGTTTAAGAGGTGGAGGATGTAACGACCCGACCGGTCGTTTGCCTTTTTAGAACCCGTTCCCCCAAATAACACTCTCCATGCTTGCTTTAACTAATTTATGACCTGCGGAGATGGTTGGTTCGGGATTTGGAAGGGTTTGGATTGAATTATGCACATTTGACTCTTTAGGATTTTCTCAAAAGGCTAAGTTTGACTTTGGTCAACATTTTGGGCACACGGGCCCGAATTCGTGTTTTGACGGTTCCGGAGGCTCCGCAGGAAAATATAGGACCTGAGCGTATGCCCGGAATCGAATTCCAAGGTCCCTAGCCCGAGTAATGAATTTTTACTAGAAATTGTTAATTTTAAGTTTTAAGGATTTAAAGAAACTAATTAATGATTTATTTCATGGATATCGGGCTCGTATGTTGGTTCCGAAGCCCGGTACAGGTCCGAAATATCATTTATGACTTGCCCGTAAAATTTGGTGTCAATCCGAGTAGTTTAAGGGCGTCTTGGCCTGTTAGAGGAAAATTAAGAACTTGAAGTTCATAGGTTTGATTCATTTGGTTTTAGGGGGTGATTCCTAGATTTAGCGTTGTTTCGGGTGTTCCGAATGTTCGAGTAGGTCCATCTCGTGATTTCAAACTTGTCGGTATGTTCGGGCAGGGCCCGGGAGCCCGAGCGTCAATCGGACGAGGCTCGAGTGAAGTGCAAATTTTTGGGAAGAGCTGAAGCTGCTGCTTCTGTCATAACCGCACCTGCGGTTGGTGGAACGCAAGTGCGAGACCGTAGATGCGGTCCTTCCATCGCAGAAGCGGCCCAGGGCAGGCCAGGCCAGGAACCGCAGAAGCGGCTCCCAAGCCGTAGAAGCGGCTCCGCAGATGCGGCCTCGAGACCACAGAAGTGGTCCCATCTCTTTTGGCCCATTTCGCAGATGCGGTCCATTTCTCGCAGATGCGGGACCGCAGATGCGAAAATCGCTGATGCAGTGAGGTTCATATAATACGGGTTCTAAGTCATTTTTATCACTTTTTCACTCCTCCATTTGGCGATTTTAGAGCTTTTGAGAGAAGAACTTCACCTAGCATCTTGAGGTTAGTGTGGTCTACCTATTTCTAGCTTAATAATTATGTCTTAGGTAGATTAAACACTAGTATTAAGGTGAAATAATGGGGTTAGAGCAAAAACCTAGGGTTCTAATAAAAGTTAGATTTAACTACGAAATTTGTAATGGAATAAATTAGAAATCATATATTATCGATCCTTAGGTTGTAGAGAACAACTTCCTTCGAAAAAATTAGGAATCCGGGCACGTGGGCCCGGGGTCGGATTTTAGGAAATTTGTGTTTAAGGGTGGGAAATTGCGTAAATAGTTAGAAAATTATCTTGTAAGCTTATATTGACTAGTTCCTACCTTGTTTATCTAGTTTTGAATCGTTCGGCTCCGATTTGAGGGTTCGGGCTCATTCTTGGTATTGGAAGTGCACATTGGAGCGAGGTGAGTCTCCTATCTAACCTTGTAAGAGGGAATTCTCCCCATAGGTGATATAATCTAATAATTTGTCATTAAATGCGGGGAGCTATGTACGCACTAGGTGACGAGAGTCCGTGCGTAGCTACTATTGTGCTAAGTCCGGGTAGTTTAGGACCCAAAAGCATGCTTTATGTGGTATCTTTGCAACTCTATGTTTAATTTAGATTGTTTAATCGTGGAGATTATGATAATTGAGATTACTTAAGAGGAACATGACCATTCTTGGCTTGTAAAAAGGACAGATGAAAAATGCATTGAGTAGCTTGTCTCCAGCTATATGTCATTGTTGTCTATTGATATGTTTAATTACATGTGACCGCGTCGTATGGTTGATTCGAGAGCGGGATAATAGATGCATCTATGGTTCGTGCCGCTCGACCCTCGGCAATGCACAATTTACTTTATGTTGGATCGGGCAGTAAGACTTCGGCACTATTTGCGCCCGTTTTATTCAGAATTCTATGATTTAGATTATTAATTGCCCTGGAATGAAGTTGCCAGTAGTGACATTACTTAGGGGAGAACCTGTTAGTTCTTGCTACATACTGCTATTTGATTACTTTTACCCATGCACAGTGTAATTAGTATCTCATATTATTTTGACCCTAGTAAGTGTCAAGTCGACTTCTCGTCTCTACTTCTTCGAGATTAGACAGGATACTTACTGGGTACATATTGTTTATGTACTCATACTATGCTTCTGTACTTAATTGTACAGGGTCTAAGGCAGGTACATCTGGCTATCAGTTTGGTGCGTATCACTGAGCCTATTCTGAGACTTCCACGGTGAGCTGCTCCCTTCCTGTGCCGTTCAGCAGCTTGATGGAGTTTCTCTTATTTATTTTTGCTGTCTATTCCATTTCGGACAGTAGGATAGGATTGTACTTTTGTATATTCTACTAGTTGCCAGTAACTTGTGACACCAGGTCTTGGCACATACTTTAGTAGATTATTTCTTTTGGAAATTGTATAACTATTTTGGGTACCTTAATGGCCATTACTTGTTTTTAACCTTAACTTAAGGGATTTCTGAAACTAATTGGCAAAAAAGTAAAAAGAAGAATTTAATTAAACTTCCGCGTTGGCTTGCCCGGCAATGGTGTTGGGCGCCATCATGACCTATTGAGGAAATGGGTCGTGACATGTATTTAGGGTTGGGAAATTTCTTTAATGGTTAGAATATGAACTCTTGAGCTTGTATTGACTAGTTCTTACCCCGTTTAATTAGTTTTGGATCGTTTGGCTCCAAATTGAGGGTTTGAGCGCGTACTTGATATTGGAAGTAAGCTTCGGAGCGAGGTGTGTCTCCTTTCTAACCTCGTAAGAGGGAAATACACCACTAAGTGAATTAAATAAATGTATGTGATTGTCTGTGGGGGCTACGTACGTACGTGGTGACGAGAGTCCGTGCGTAGCTACTATCATGCTAATTGTTGGGGTAGTTTAGGACCCGTATCATGCCATACTTGGAAATGCTTATGTTCTTAATTATTAATGAGATCACTTAGGACATGTTAGGGATTGAAAATAAATATAAACGAATGTACGCACTTACTTGAGAACTTGTATGAAGTTATTTGACTATAAATGCGCCTTTATGTGCCTTCTTGATTGTAATTGCTATTTGTGGATCGGGCCGATCGCCTCGGTAGAAATAGATGCATCTATGGTTCGCACCATTCGACCCTGTGGCAGTGCACAGTTATTATTATGTTGGACCGGGCCGTACGACCTCGGCATAACGTGCGCATGTTATTTATGTGAATTTTATCCATGACTTACTCTGTTTAAATGCTTTGAAGTGCAACTATTATAAGACATGACTGAAATTGATATATCGTCCTCCTTGATTTTGAGATTTGTCGTTCTATCCATCTTATCCATGCTTAGCGTTATCTTTAAGTAATATTGATATTGACCTTAGTAAGTGTCAAGTCGACCCCTCGTCACTCTTCTTTGAGGTTAGACTGGATACTTGTTGGGTACATGTTGTTTATGTACTCATATTACACTTATGTACTTAACTGTAGAGGATCTGAGGCAGGTGCATCTAGTTACCCCTCCGGCGCGCGTTCCTGATTCCTGATCGAGATCTTACGGTGAGCTACCCCATTTTGAGTCGTTCAGCAGCATACTGGAGTTCTCTTATTTGTTATTATTATGTATGGTCTATTCTATTTCAGGCAGTAGGATACTGATATTTTGTACATTCTACTAGTTGCCCTTGTACTTGTGACACTAGTTCCTTGCACACACTGTAGACTATTATTTTGGGATGTATTTATGTCATTACAAACTTGTTGATTACCGACTGTTAAAAAGCTTAACTGTTAAGGAAAAGTTTGGCATGTGTTGGAAAAATAATGGGGACTCACTAGTTGATTAGGATTGGCTTGCCTGACAACGGTGTTGAGCGCCATCACGACCTATAATGGAATTTGGGTCGTGACAACATGGTATCAGAGCACTAGGTTCACGTAGGTCTCACAAGTCATGGGAAAACCTAATAGAGTCTTGCGGATCGGTACGGAGACGTCTGTACTTATCATTGGGAGGCTATAGGGTGTTAGGAAACTACTCTTTATTCATCTTCTATCGTGCAGTTGATGGTATACTAAATTTCCTTCTTCTATTCTCTCGCAGATGGTGAGGACGCGCACGGCAGACGTTCCAGACCTAGGAGGAGCTGCTCCCCACATTGCTAGAGGCCGAGGGAGGGCACCGGCCTGTGGTAGGGGACGAGGGCATCCCAGAGCTGTCCCAATTGCACTACCGGCAGATCCTGCGGGGGATCCTATCTTTGAGGAGCAGGGCAAGGTTCCTGTAGCTGAGCCTACCCCGGCGGACTTTATGACGGCACCGGGTTTCCAAGAGGTCATGGGTCGTATGTTGTGGTTCATGGATACCATGACTCAGACTGGTTTATTTCCAGCGAACCCAACTATATCTCAGGCGGGAAGAGGAGCACAGACCCCTACTGCCCAGGCTCCGGGTCATGCAGCTGCAGTGTATCAGACTCCGGGGGCACTACCCGCGGATAGGGCTTAGCCAGTTGCTGCAGTGGTACCCGAGCCCAGATCAGCTGCGGATGGCGATCCGCAGAAGTTATTGGACAGGTGGACTAGGCTACACCCTCCTATCTTCGGGGGTGAGCGTCATGAGGATGCCTAGGATTTCATTGATAGGTGCAGGGATAGACTGCACAACATGAGGATATTGGAGTCTTATGGGGTTGACTTCACTACATTCCAGCTGGAGGGCAGGGCCTGTAGATGGTGGCAGTCCTATGTTCTTGGCAGGCCAGCAAGTTCTCCTCCCTTCACTTGGGGTCAGTTCACACAGTTATTCCCGGACAGGCATATTCCACCCTTTGAGAGGGAAGAGTTGCGGTATCAGTTTGAGAAGCTTGAGCAGGGTCAGATGTCGATGACGGACTATGAGGTGAGGTTTCAGACTTATCCCGCCATGCACTGATGATACTTCCTGCTGACGCAGAGAGGGTGCGAAGGTTCGTTGCAGGGTTGCATTCTGGCATTAGGGCCAACATGGCCCGAGAGGTGGAGATGGGGACTCCTTATCAGCTAGTGGTGGAGATTTTTCGGAGAATTGAGGGCTACCTTCTAAGAGGTAGGGAGCAGATGCCGCAGGACAAGAGGGCTAGATTTTCCGGATAGTTCAGAGACGCCCCGGCTAGGGGCAGAGGTCAGTTTGGGAGGGGTCAGCCCAGAAAGCACCTATATTCAGCACTGCCACCTCCTCGAGGTGCTCCAGCGCGCCCTATTTCTGCGCCATACCAGAGAGTTCATACCGTCCACCGGCTATTCAGGCTTCTTCTAATGGGTCTACAGGCCATCAGGGTCAGACATCAGGGCAACAGGTCGCCGCACCGTGGGGTTGTTTTGAGTGCAAAGACCTTGGTCATATGAGGAGATACTGCCCCAGGCTTTGGGGCAAGGCAGTACAGCAGAGTCAGCAGCCCATGGTTACAGCACCGGTTGCCCAGCCGCCTAGAGGCGGAGGACAGACTGGTAGGGGTCGTCCTAGAGGTGGAGGCCAAGCAAGGAGAGGTTAGCCAGCTACTGCTCAGCCAGGTGGAGGCTAGCCAGCCGGCGCTCCAGCTGGATTCTATGCTTTTTCGGCCAGACCAGATGCATTGGCCTCAGATATCGTTATCATATGTATTATTTTCGTCTGTGGTAGGGATGCTTCAGTGCTATTTGATCCAGGGTCTACCTATTCATATGTGTCATCTCTGTTTGCTCATTTCCTGGATATTCCTCGTGAGTCCTTGGGTACTCCCTTTCATGTGTCCACTCCTGTGGGCGATTCTATGGTTATGGATCGGATCTACTGGTCCTGTGTGGTCACATTCTATGGTTTCGAGACTAGAGCAGATCTCCTGTTGCTTGATATAACCGACTTTGAGGTCATCCTGGCATGGATTGGTTATCCCCATACCACGCTGTCCTGGATTGCCATGCCAAGACTGTTATTTTAGCGATGCCAGAGTTGCCAAGGTTGGAGTGTAAGGGTTCCTCAGTTAGTGCATCTGTTCGGGTGATCTCTTTTCTGAAGGCTCGACATATGGACGATAAGGGTTATTTGGCTTATCTAGCCTATGTTCGGGACACCACCGCAGAGTCTCCGATGATTGATTCAATACCAGTAGTCCGGGAGTTCGCCGATGTGTTTCCTTCTGACCTTCCTAGCATGCCACCGGATTGTGATATTGATTTCTACATTGATTTGGCTCCAGGTACCCAGCCTATATCTATTCCACCGTACCGTATGGCTCCGAAAGATTTGAAGGAGTTGAAGGAGCATCGTAAGGAGTTGTTAGCAAAAGGGTTTGTTAGACCAAGTGTGTCACCTTGGGGTGCACCAGTGTCGTTTGTAAAGAAGAAGGATGGGACCATGCGGATGTGCATTGATTACCGCCAGTTGAACAAGGGTACCATCAAGAACAAGTACCTGTTGCCGCACATTGATGATTTGTTCGACCAGTTGCAGGGTGCTAGGGTGTTCTCTAAGATCGACTTGAGATCAGGGTACCATTAGTTGAAGATTCGGGACTCAAATGTTCCGAAGACTGCTTTCCTTACTAGATATGGCCATTATGAGTTTCTAGTGATGTCCTTTGGCTTGACTAATGCCCCAGCAGCGTTTATGGACTTGATGAACAGGGTGTTCAGACCTTATATTGATTCCTTTGTTATCGCTTCATTGGCGACATGTTGATATACTCACGTAGCCTGGGAGAGCACGAGCAGCATTTGAGAGTAGTTTTTCAGACCTTGCGAGAGCAGAAGCTATATGTTAAGTTCTCCAAGTGTGAGTTTTGGCTAGAGTCAGTGGCATTCTTGTGGAATATTGTGTCAGGAGAGGGTATTAAGGTGGATCCCAAGAAGATTGAGGCAGTTCAGAGTTGGCGACATCCTACTTCAGTGATTGAGATCAAGAGTTTCCTGGGGTTAGCAGGTTATTACCGCCGATTCGTGCAGGGCTTTTCATCTATTGCATCACCTCTGACTAGATTGACCCAGAAGGGTGCTCCTTTTCGTTGGTCCGATGATTGTGAGACGAGCTTTCAGAAGCTCAAGACAGCTTTGACTACAACACCGTTTCTTGTGTTGCCTTCCGGTTCGGGGATGTATACGGTATATTGCGATACTTTACGCGTTGGCTTGGGATGTGTGTTGATGCAGGATGGGCGAGTTATTGCATATGCTTCACGTCAGCTGAAGATCCATGAGAAGAATTACCCTATGCACGACCTGGATTTAGCAGCGATTGTTCATGCTCTTAAGATATGGAGGCATTATCTGTATGGGGTGTCATGTGAGGTTTACACTGATCATTGCAGCTTGCAACATTTGTTCAAGCAGAGGGAACTCAATTTGAGACAGCGTAGATGGCTGGAGTTACTAAAGAATTATGTCATCACCATTCTTTATCATCGGGCAAGGCAAATGTGGTCGCGGACGCCTTGAGTAGGAAAGTAGAGAGTAAGGGTAGCTTGGCATTCATTTCAGCGGAGGAGAGGCCACTAGCTTTGGACATTCACTCCTTGGCTAACAGACTTGTGAGGTTGGACATCTCAGAGCCCAGCCGAGTCCTTGCGTGTGTTGTTGCTCAATCTTCACTTTTGGGGTAGATCAAGGCTCGGCAGTTTGATGATCCGCACTTGGCAGTTCTCGGAGAAACGGTGCTACAGGGATAGTGCCAAGGAGGTTTCTATTGGCGAGGATGGTGTTCTACGACTCCAGGGTCGCCTATGTGTACCTAATGTTGATAGCTTGAGGGAGAGGATTCTAGATGAGGCACACAACTCACGGTATTCCATTCATCCAGGTGCTATGAAGATGTATCGTGACCTGAGACAACATTATTGGTGGTGGCAGATGAAGAAAGACATAGTTGAGTATGTAGCTGGGTGTTTGAATAGCCAGCAGGTTAAGTATGAGCACCAGAGGCCAGGTGGCCTACTTCAGCAGATGCCCATACCTGAGTAGAAATGGGAGCGCATTACTATGGACTTCGTAGTTGGGTTACCGCGGAAATTGCAGAAGTTTGTTGCGGTTTGGTTCATTGTCGATAGGTTGACCAAGTCGACACACTTTATTCCAGTGGTGACTACTTATACTTTAGAGAGATTGGCACAGATCTACATTCGGGAGATAGTCCGGTTGCACGGTGTGCCTGTTTCCATCATATCAGATAGAGGCTCTCAATTCACTTCATATTTCTAGAGAGCTGTTCAGAGTGAGTTGGGGACCCGTGCGGAGCTTAGCACAACATTCCATCCTCAGACCGACGGACAGTCGGAGCGTACAATTCAGATTTTGGAGGACATGCTTAGAGCATATGTGATTGACTTTGGAGGACAGTGGGATCAGTTCTTGCCTTTGGCCGAGTTTGCTTACAACAACAGTTATCAGTCCAACATCGAGATGGCTCCATTTGAGGCTTTATATGATCGGCGTTGTCGTTCTCCTATCGGGTGGTTCGAGCCTGGTAGGCTAAGTTGTATGGTACAGATTTGGTGAGAGATGCCTTGGAGAAGGTAAAGTTGATTCAGGAGAGGCTTCGCACAGCTCAGTCCAGATAGAAGTGTTATGAATATCAGAAGGCGCGTGATTTATCATTCATGGTCGGCGAGAAGGTTCTCTTGAAAGTTTCCCCGATAAAGGGTATTATGAGATTCAGGAATAAGGGCAAGTTGAGCCCAAGGTTTATTGGCCCATTTGAGGTGTTGAGGCGAGTTGGGGAGGTTTCTTACGAGCTTGCTTTACCTCCCAGCTTATCGGGAGTCCATCCAGTTTATCACGTATCTATGCTTCGAAGGTACCACGCCGACTTGTCCCGTGTGTTAGACTTCAGTACTATTCAGCTGGATGAGAGTTTGGGTTATGAGGAGGAGCCAGTTGCCATTATTGATAGACAAGATCGCCAGTTGAGAGCCAAGAAGATTTCTGCGGCAAAGGTCCAGTGGAGGGGCCAACCAGTCGAGGAAGCAACCTGGGAGTTCGAGGAGGAATTGCGGAGCAGATATCCACGCTTGTTTGGCACTTCAGGTATTAATCTAAACCCATTCGAGGACGAACGTCTGTTTAAGAAGTGGAGAATGAAATGACCCGACTGGTCGTTTTGCTTTCTAGAACCCCGTTCCCCTAAATAAGACTTCCCGTACTTGCTTTTACTAATTTATAACTTGCGGGAATGGTTGGTTCGGGATTTGGAAGAGTTTGGGTTGAAATCGGGGCACTTGGTTTCTTAAGGTTGGCTTAAAAGGCCAAGTTTGACTTCGGTCAACGCTTTGAGTAAACGACCTCGGAATCCGGATTTCAAGATTCCAACAAGTTTGTATGATGATTTCAGACTTGGGCGTATGTCCGGCTTGGGTTTTGGATGACCCCGGAGTGTTTTGGAGCCTATTAGTGAAAGTTGATTCCTTAAGGATTTTGAAGTTCTTAAATATTTGATTTGGAGCGGGTTTTTTGCTATCGAGGTCCGAACGAAATTCTGAGACCTGGAATAGTTCCGTATTG